GGGGGATGGCTGGGAAAGGCGATCTTTGGTGAATGGGCTGGCCCATGGGTATTTCTGCATGCTGCACAAATATCTGTGTTTAAAGTAAGTTAAAAGAACAGTACAGATACATCGGCTGTGAATTTATGGAGATCGTTGCTAAACCATTGACTCATACCTGTGGAAGTAAATCCTGTGTTTCCGACACCAGCCATTTGGTCATTCCTGAACTGAGCAGGAGTGCGGCATGAACGCTATTGTGTCAGCAGGGCTTAGGCCTTGGATGCTGCAACAAAAGACATACTTTATGATGTGCTGATGTTACTAAATCCAAATCCCGGCTCTGAGACTATGTGATTATGATCTAAAAGCAGCTGATCTAACTGAGGAATAATTCCACTGAAGTTAATAGAAATTACACAGGGTTTTATGTAGTGTCAGGGGAGAAAATGCACCAGGCCCAGTCTTTTATTGTGCAAGTTGAGACTGGTTTTAATTTCGCAGGTCATCTGAGCAATGGGCATTCCTCTGTGTCTTGTTGGGTAGGTTTGTTTGGGTGTGAGCAGCCTTTGACACAGCTGATCATGAGGCACTAGCAAGCTTGATGAAGCCAAGCAGTCAGGCAAATATAATACGATTTTACGAAGAATCCTGCCTGGCAAGTAAGGCTAAGGCATTACCCAGAGGAGCATTGCTTGCAGTGGACCCACTGCGCAGGCTACATCCCGCAGAATGCAGGGTAGATGGAGACGGTAAGCAAGCTGACAGGAGAGTGAACATGTATTGTCCAGCAAAAAACAGACAGGAGGAGAGCACGTGTTCCCATGTGGGCTGTGCTGCAGGGGGATGTACCCTTAGCAGGTTAGCTGGCTTTGGTACCACCTGAGAGCTGTGCCAGTGTAACAGGTTTTGCTTAAAAGGCATCGGACAGTAACGCTGACGGATTGAAGCGGGATGTTCTTAGGTGGATACACACAGAACGCCTGAGAATAGGGACATGCCTTGCACGAGTCAGTGGGTGAATTTACTAAACGTGTAGGAATACCCAGTTTCTGGGAAGGGCTGGAAGGATGCTGGGTGCTCTGGCAAGAGCAGTGGTCAGAAGAATTCTTTATGTGAGGTTTATTGTATATTACAATCTGCATTCAGGTAGTAAGACCTAGTGCATTGCTGCAAAATTCAGAGAATTCACTCTAAATGGGAATGGAGCTTAAGATCATAGAATCATAGAATCACTTTGGTTGGAAAAGACCTTTGAGATCATCGAGTCCAACCGTTAACCTAGCCCTGCCATCCCACCACTAAACCCTGGCCCTAAGCACCTCATCCATCCTTCTTTTAAATCCCTCCAGGGATGGGGACTTGACCACCTCCCTGGGCAGCCCATTCCAGAGCCTGACAGCCCTTTCGGTGAAGAAGTTTTTCCTAATGTCCTAATGTTCCTAAACCATGTCCTTAGGGATACTCGCAAACAACAGGCGAGCAGTGAACAGCAAAGGCAAAAGGCTGCTGGAAAAAACCAAAGCAGATGAGAAGGAACACACACCATTTGGTGTTTCCTAATGAAACAGAGTCAGGGCCCCAAACAGCCCCTACCCCACCTTTGCCTCTCCTGGTCTCACCCCAGTGACACTCCAGACCTCCAGCTTTCTTGCTGTGACTAAAACCCCTGCCCTTGCTATGAGATCACCCAGAAAAGAAGCCAGAAAATATCAGTCAGTACTAAAGTCACAAGGTCTATCTAAAATCTCTCCTCTTTTTGACCCCTGTGGTATATAAATGAGTAAGGAAACAGAATTTCAGGGAGAGGAAGTGATAACCTCGAATTATCCTGTGGGGCAGTGTGATAACCTAGACTGCACTGATTAGTCATCCAGAACAATTAAAAGATTGCTTTATAATATTTAGGTAACTTAACCTCTGCAAATGACTGTGATATCTGGGAAAGACATTGCTTGCTAGGGGAAGAAAAAAGTAGATGCACAAAATGATCTCATTCCTCTGAAGTTCTTAGAACCGAAACACAAACACTGGGCGAGGTTGTGATCAAACAGACTTCAGCCGGGATTTGACAAAGACCTGCTTTAGACCTCGAAGGCAAATTGGCAGACGCTAACTTAGTATGTCATTATCCATTTCCAGTGCATGGCGTAAGCCTCAGCTTCAGAAAATATTCTGTTCCATTAAGTTCCTTTAGAATATCTGAGCTCTTATGATGTCTTGATAATGGATCAAGTATCGGGCATTAAACTCCTGGAGTTTTGCATCCAAATGAGATTTCTACTGGAACAGAAATTTAGAAATTGATTGTATGAAGCAATGTGCTACCATTTTAATTATCCTTTGCTGATTAGACTTTCCGGCATAAAAGTTCCAGTGTGGATATTTTGTACAGAATCTCTGCTTTCTCTAAATCCACCGTTCTGTGATTACTATTAATGTAGTCAGATCATTTGCTTGCTCTGCTCGTATTTAACAGATCCTACTGCAGTCAGGGAGGAATTGGGAAGCAGAGAATACAAAAGAAAATCCACAGCTTAATCTTTCAGAAAAAGTTTCTTCGGATTTTGAAATCTGTCCAGCACACGTCAGATAAGTCAATAAGAATACAAACCCACCACTCATTTACCAAACAAAAAGGAACACGGACTATTTTCCCCTCCCCTGGCTAGTTCAAACGGCAGGGATTGCAGTGGCCTCTGATGCCCTCTAACGGACAAACCTGTGGGAGCAATGTCCCCTTGGGGACCGTGCAGCAGGGGGTGAACCGGTCAAACCTCCCACGGGAGGAGCTGCAGCACAGCTTTTGTGGGGAGCCTGCCAGCTCCTGGATCAAACCCCATGTTTGAGGGGTTTGCAGCTTAGAAATTAAGTCACCTCTTACCAAAAACTTGGCAGATCCTTTCCTTCCTCCCTTCCTTCCTCATTTACTTAAGTTTGTTTGTTTAGCTCCACTTAAGAACAGTAGGAAAATATTTTTGATGCTGATCCCAGATTTGGCACATTTCCTCCCGAACGATACCTTATCCATGAGGAATTGAAACCGAGCACGTGCCTTAGAGAGGAATGCCTCCGTAAGCGATGGTAGGCTTCTGGACCAAAGCTGGTAAATAGAAATTAGAAAGTACCACTTAGCATATTTGAGCCTCTGCTGGAGGGTTTGACAAATGGTGGTGAAAACGAGCAAGTGAGGTGGGAGGAATGAAGAGAAGAAATCAAAGTATGAAACAGAGACTTCAGTGAGTAGGAGAGAAGAAAAAGATAGGTTAATAAATAAATAATTTGAATTGAAAAAAGTAGAGAAAAGCAAAAGATGAAGATATTGGAGGGGGGAAAAAAAAAAATCCATATTCTCTGGCAAGAAGCCAAGAGAAGTGTCACCTCCAAGAGCCAATCCAGGCATAACAAAAGAGAGGCCCAGATCTCCTGAGTAAATTTAGGCGATATCTAGAAATGAACTGAATCTTAAAGGGTGAAGCACATCAGAAAGGAAGGAAATACTTAAGGGCTTCTGGCTTTAAAACTAATTTTTATTGGAAGTTGCGTTGTTAAATGATGCCATCTAGCAACAGCGGATCAGCACCTTTATTCTGGGGTAAAGGACGAAGCGAGTGAGTTGAGAATTACTGCGGATTTTACTAGAGATCTGGCCAGGCCATTTTCTCTGGGTGCCTTGGCTTTCTTATCTGGTTCCCCATCCTCTTACTCAGGCAAAAAGCAGAAGTGCCAGAATACCTCCAAGGAAGTGATTCAAGTGGCATTTTTTGGCTTGACTAGAAACATCGGTGTCTGGAAATTTCATGAGAGGGACTGTTCCCCCAGAGATAAATTTCCAACTCGTACTTCTAGTGGCTTGGCCCTTCAGGTTTTAGAAGGTCTAAACCTATGCTGAGAGGGAATAGAGGACATGGCAGGGACTTTCCTCTTTCGTGTGACTCTTACCCCTAGTGCCACTTTTGACAGCCACAACGGGAAATTTTTAGTGAGGAAAAAATCACCGGCATTCACACGAAAGCCTGACAAGACTTTGTAGATGCCTTAGGCTGTAATTTCTTATTTTAGTTTACGTATAAGCTTAAGGAAGTTCATTAAGAAGCTCTTGCTAAAGTGTATTAAAAATCCAGTCCATCAAAATAACCAAGAAGCATGAGATTGTCAAGAGCCGCTGAAGAAATGGTACCACAGCTCAGAAGTTACCTGGAGCTAGGGTATTTGGAATGATTCATCTGCAAGTCATAACTCAGTTACAAACTGTCACGTGTCTGCCTGTTGGAGGACAAAACCATGTGGGTTTTCATGTATCCAACAGACAGGGTCTAGCACAAAAATTAGGAGTAGAGATGCCGTGGTTTTTTCTAGGCCAGCAAATCACTTCCAGGATAGTGGGTGTCAGGGCACCTCGTATTGAGCCTAGGAAGAAGAGGAAACAATTAAAAGGAAGCAGAGAGCACTGGGAAAGAACGATCTTGACCAAATACTGGCTGGAATTTTCCAAAGAGTTTGGGGGAAACACTAAGAGAATTTCCAACAGCGCCATTCCACCTCTGAAGTTTCGCCTCGTCTAAAATCTGGGAATACTACAGCAAGTCACGTTTGCTTTTTTGCTTTGGGAAAAACACTGTGAGAAACAGGAAGAAGCACTGTTTGTTTTGTTTAGTAAATTTTGCAGGGAAGAAATAGCCTGGCTTTTTCTCCCGAAGTCAGGAGTTCCCAAGGTGCTTCTCTCTCAGCTAATCTTATCACCCCTGATTTCTTTCTGGCTTTTTGAGAAGCGTTTTTCATAAGCATATCAGTAAGCCGAAGCCCTTTCCTGCCCCCTACACG